GGGGTTTTCCGAAGTGAAAGGAAGCACCATTTTAATCGTGCTGACCTACATGCAGCTGCTCTGCGGCATCAGGTCGCAACCGAGACGAGCCCCCAGCCGTCGGAAACTCGACGCGGTCGCAACTCGAAAGAAAACAACTAGATTGCCGACGGTCGGCAATGTAACGCTGGGCACCACTCTTCTTGCGCACAATGAAAAGTCCCACGTAAACAACGCCCTCCTCCTGAACAGTCTCAACCATGTTTCGTGGAAACAACATCAGCAGCGCCGAGGCGCATCGACGAGCAGACCTGCGCAAATCGGGATCATGGTATATCTTCGCCCCGCTCGCTTCAAAACTCTGCGAGCCCACTTAGTTTTGCAAAGCATGCTCGCTCGCCCACACCCGGACTTCCCGACGTCAATTCGGGCCCGAAGGTTGACGCATGTCATCGGGGCCGCCCCTACTGGCCGAAGCGAGAGCAGAGACTCGTCCAAGGGAACTGCTGGCGAAATCTCGCCAGAGTAGTCACGCCCACCGCTGATGCTCGAAAAAGCCTCGGCCGGCTGAGCATCCGCTGCGGGGTTCCCATCCTGCTGCAGCGTTCGCGAAGGTGCCCTTCGCTGTCCCCGCCCAAAAAGTCAGAGGCGTTGGCGGCAGCATTGGGGGCGCCACCTAGATGCATCTCAGACAGAACGGAGGCCGCATCATAACTGAGCCTACTCAACCACTGCTCAGGCGAGACTGGAAGACAGCTCAGCCCTGGGGGCCTTCTAACAGCACAGTTCGGACGCGTTTCCTCCGATGCTTTCGCCCGAGTAGTTGAAAGACTGCAATCTGTCGCCAGCGATGTTGGTGGCCGACTTGGCGCGCATCTTGAATTCGCCGCCTCATCGCGAGGCAGCGGGCCTCCCTGCGCTGCCGGCTGCCGAGGGGGACCGCCCGCCACGTGCGGGCTCATGACTTCCCGCCCCCACCTCGTCCACCCCCACCTGGGGGCTGACGGACAAGGGCTCGTTCTTCTCGTGCTTTCCTGGCTTGTTTGTGGACCTGCGCTTCCTTCTCCAGCTCCTCGCTGACATGCTCCACCAGAGCTGGCAAGCAGCAGACGGTCGGATTCGCGTGGTGGCGCCCCTTGAGCATATCCATCTCATCGCTCGTAATCACTGCAGACCCCTTGACCGAAGAAACCACGCCTGCAGATCCTCCTCGCTCTCCATCGCGGACCTTCTCAGCATGCTGATACTGAATAGTCTGCAGTCGGCGAGCTATCTTTTCTATCGCGGCAAGGTTTAACAAGTCAAACTGATCGACGCAGCCTGCTGCCTCCAAATATCCGCGCAGTTGGGCGTGGTCGGCAACCTCGCAGTCAGCAGCATTCAATCTCGCCGTTGACCGCCACCACCTATGATGATCCTCTGGGCCTGTGTCGCGACGAGTCATGAAGCGAGCCACCCACGTAGCACTTCTCGGCCCCTGGATAAGCCAGTGGTCGATCGCGCTCTCGTTTGCGCTCCCGGCCACGCTGCTCCAAGGTCGTTGGCGCTCTCTAGCTGGTGCGTACTTCACCGGCAAAACACGAGCATCGCTAGCATCAGCATGTTCCCTCCGCCGAACATCGATCCTCGCCCGAGGCACCTTCTCCACAGCGAGCAAATCAGGACCGACACGAGCAAGAACACGATGATCAACACTAACATCTGGATTGCCAACGCACTCGTCACCAACTGCGATCGTGGCGTTGCTCTCGGCGAGTAGCCAGACCTCTGGCTCCGCTGCCGCAGGCTGAACGCCTCCGACCGCTAGTGCCACAAGGTCCTGATCCTCCTCCATCAGCCCTCGCAACACGCCTCCAGCTGGCTCCGCGCCCGGCCTGAAGTTGTACACGTTGGCTCCCTGCAAGCTGGCTGGGGTGCTACCATCTGGACGAAAGGCTCGCGCCGCTGTGATGTCACCGCTGTTCGGCCCGTAGTCCTCCTCGTAGAGGTCCCCGTCAAAACTGTAGATCACTCAGCGACTGTCGCCCACGCTGACCAGAAGCAGCCGAGCGTGCCACAAGGCATCGTCGTAGCGGACCAGCACCTTACGCCCTGGCGCCAACGACGAGGACACCACCACCGCTGGCGCCGCCGCCGCGGCCAGGGCGGCCCCCACCAGAGCCTGCGCCATCGCCTATGACCAGCTGCGGCGGCTCGCAATGCCTCGCGCTCCTCCTGCCCAGCCGCACGCCGACCACCAGCACGACCAGCACGAGCCCGAGCTGCACCTCCAGCCTGAAGGAGAACGCCGAGCCACTTCCTGTCGCACACTCCGGCCCCTGCAGCTGCTGCGCCACCAGGCGCTCGAGTGCCGCACGCTCCGCCGGCTCGCCTGAGCCCAGGCACTGGCACACGCAAGGTGGACAACTGTTTTGCGGTGCCGCCGAACCGCCAATCAGAATCCACAGACCGAGCAGTGTATCAACAAGGGATCCACCTGCATGCGGACCAGGGGGCCCCTCTGAGCCACAGACGCTACGGAAGCAGTCTGAAGCAAGACGTGCACGCACTTGTATGATGATGCTGCTGATGATGATGATGATGATGATGATGGTGATGATGAAGATGATGATGAAGATGATGATGATGATGATGATGATGATGATGATGATGATGATGATGATGATGATGATGATGATGATGACGCTGATTCTGATGATGCTGAAGATGATGATGCTGATGATGATTCTGCTGCTGCTGCTGCTGATGATGATGATGATGATGATGATGATGATGTTGATTTTGCTGATGCTGATGCTGCTGCTGCTGCTTCTGCTGATGATGATGATGATGATGATGACGGTGGTGATCATGATGATGTTGACGAAAAAGCTGAGCAGGAGGAGGAGAGGAAGGGTGGCAAGAGGAAGGAGCGAGGGAAGGAATGTGACAATTTTGGCTTTCAGAAAGGAGCTCGCCTGACTTCGCGTTGTCCCACGGGCACGGCGGCGCCCACGCGCGCCAGCCTCCCGTGAGGGGTCCCGTACGCCCGGGCCACAGCCATGGCCCGGCACCAGCACGACGTGCGCTTGCAGCGCGTGGAGCCAGCTTGCAACCGGAAGTACGATACCGACCAGATCAACTACAATGCTTGGCCTCGCAACCTCCTCGAGACGAAGAGCGCGAAGCAGCTCGCAGCAGCGCAGCGCGGCCGCCAAGCAGCTGCACAGGCAAAACCAGCGCATCTGCGAGCAACAAGACGGCATCTCGCAGCTCCAGCGGGAACTACACGCATGAGAGGTGTGGTGGCAATCGAGCCGTTGGCCTCTACGGAAAGTGGCGCCTGACTACAACAAGCCGACGACCTACATCCAATACAGCTACCACTTACACCAGGGAGAACCCGAAACTGGGATGATGCCCCTGAGACCGTACAGGCCGCACCAGCGCAACACCCCCTGATGCCTGGCAAGCCGTCCCTGTGTAGGACGGGGGGGAGGGGAGTGCGCAGTTACCTGAGACAACAGTGCGTGGTGTACGCGTGCGCCCACAGCAGAAGCCAATATCCAAACGGGCCGATAGTTGAATGACCGCACGTGCACAAGGATCAAGGCAGAGAGAACGGACGAGCAAGAAAGAGACAAGAGGAAAGAGCAGAGGAGCTGTGCGTGGTGTACAGGCCTTGCCAGCTAGTCCTCCCCGCACGAGGGCTGTCGGCAGTGACCTGTTTCCAATGGCTCCCCCCTTCTGGCTCTTGGTTTAGTCCACCCCTCCCCCGAAGGTTTCAGGTATGTTGCGATGCATTTCCATCTGTATAGCTCTGCGTAGCAGGAGAGCGAGGCCCACCCCGCACCCTTCCCGCACGTTCCAACCTCCAGCCAAGTGCCGCACTGGCAGCCGCGGCGAAGTGAGCGCCCCCCAGCTCCCTAGGAGCCGAAACGATCGGGCTCGTGGCGGTCGGGACAGGGGGTGAAGGAGGAGGAGGAGGAGGAGGAGGAGGAGGAGGAGGAGGAGGAGGAGGAGGAGGAGGAGGAGGAGGAGGAGGAGGGGGGGGCTTATGCCTCACCTCTCCCTCTCCCCGCTCGCCCGCTGCACTTTCCACCGCCGCTCCGCTCCCGCGCCTCCACCGCCCGCGGGCCCCGGAGGCCCGCGGCCGCCGGGGCAGGGCGGCAGAGGGGGGGGAGGAAGAGGACGGACGGACGGACGGACGGCACATCAGACACCTAGGCGGTGTGTGTGGATGAAAACGGCAGGGCGTACCAGTGCATCTCCCACGGTTAACCGCCGCACGAGCAGCTCTTGTCACACCCCAGAGGAACACGGGCAGGCAGGGATAGGCGAATAAGACGGACGTGCAAGCAATCACTTGGACATGTGAGCCCACAAAGTGTTCTTCCACTCGATGTCGTCCGCTGGGGGGAAGACGAAAGGGGAGGGAATCCGATCTTTGCGGGCGCACACGGCCCACATGCATACCACCCTCCTCGGCTAAATTCTGCACGGGGAGAAGGACGAGGGTTACCGGGCGAGAGCCGACACAGCTCGCAGCAGAAGCAGCAGTAAAAGGGGGGGGGGGAGGGCTGCTAGGCCGAGAGAGGGGAAAGGACTCTCCTTCTCCCTCCCCTCTTCGTCTCGCTCCCTCACCACCCCATCGGTTTTGCGCCGCGGGGCACTCTGCAGCTTCGAGGTCCCGAAAACTGCCCCCCAGGCACTCATACAACAAAAAACTTGTTTCGTGCTCTTTCGTGTCGCCAGAAGCTCCCTTGCCGCAACACGGGCCAGACAGGGTCGTTCGGGAAGATGGCAGCGCCCCCCGCTCTCGGCGAGGCGCAGCTGCTGGAAAACCCTCTCGGGCTCGAAAACGTCCCAGCCACAAGACCCTGTGGGGTTCCCAGAAACTCTCGACCCTCTGGCGTTTCTGCCAGGCTGCCCAGCCCAGAAAGAAAAAGCTCGAGACGCCCCAGGGTGCCCCAATGCCAAAGGAAGGCCCTCCGCGAGTCTCCTTCCTCCTGCCGCGCTACTCCCTTCGATCATCAAAGGTCCTCCTCGGCTTCCGCAGCGGCAGCGGTGCCTGCAGACGGGACCGGGCTTCCGCAGCTGTCCGCTGAGCCGCCCGCCGTGGCGGCGGCTGCGGCGGCCTGGCCTGCCACCTCCGGCTCCACTGGCTGCGCAGCGCCGTCGCTGCGGTCGCTGGGCCGAACTGCAGCGGAGGCACGGGGAGACTGGCCCGTGCACAATACCTCACTGGGGGCCTCCGCATCGCCCGCGTTGGGGGCGGGCATTTCGCCAGGTGTCTGCTGGCTCGGCATGTCCGTGGTAACTGTCGTGCCCTGCATCGCACACCCCAATGCTCCCAACTCTTCTAAGGCATCATCCACTTCATCCTCTGTGGAATCTGCTAGTAGCGCCTCCATGGCGGCAGCTCCGCTGGCAAGGCGTGACTTTACGGCAACGAATTAACCCCACTAAGCCGCAATGGCTTCGTGGAGGGCGTATTGCTGCTATACTTCCTGATGAGGAAGAGAAGGGTAATAGACTGATGCGACAGAACCGCCACCGTGCCGTAGGCATTGAGTGGAGTGTCTTTAAATCAATTGGAGGTCTGAATGTTAGCATTGAACATTGTAAGGGCTTCCGGAAGGCCACAACCCCAACCAACTCACAAGATTTCTGCGCGGTCCTGGACGCTCCTGGGGCTTCCCGCGTGAGTTTTCCAGAAGCCTCGGGCGCGCAATTAAGGGCCCACGCTTTCCACATGCCCTAAGACGGTCTCGGGTGACCGCCCACGGACTCCCTTGGGGGCCTCCTGGACCGTTTTGGAGGCCCACTGTACTGACCCAAAAAGCCAAACTATTCAAACAACGATTCGTTACTAGAAGATTCGCTTTCATGGCTTTTCGTTATTGAACACGTTCAAAACGGCCCAAGGTCTACACGATCACCCCCAAACTGCCAAAACGGCCCCGAAGCCTCCAAGAAGGGTCCAAGAGGCCCCCAAGACTAGATGGCTCCCGATACCGCCGACAAGCTTGCACAGGCTTCCAGAGGCCCTCAAGAGGCCCTCAGGAGGCTTCAAGAGGACCACAGGCCGCTCTCAAGAGGCCCCCAATCCCCGAAAGCGGGCCGAACTGCAGCGGAGGCACGGGGAGACTGGCCCGTGCACAATACCTCACTGGGGGCCTCCGCATCGCCCGCGTTGGGGGCGGGCATTTCGCCAGGTGTCTGCTGGCTCGGCATGTCCGTGGTAACTGTCGTGCCCTGCATCGCACACCCCAATGCTCCCAACTCTTCTAAGGCATCATCCACTTCATCCTCTGTGGAATCTGCTAGTAGCGCCTCCATGGCGGCAGCTCCGCTGGCAAGGCGTGACTTTACGGCAACGAATTAACCCCACTAAGCCGCAATGGCTTCGTGGAGGGCGTATTGCTGCTATACTTCCTGATGAGGAAGAGAAGGGTAATAGACTGATGCGACAGAACCGCCACCGTGCCGTAGGCATTGAGTGGAGTGTCTTTAAATCAATTGGAGGTCTGAATGTTAGCATTGAACATTGTAAGGGCTTCCGGAAGGCCACAACCCCAACCAACTCACAAGATTTCTGCGCGGTCCTGGACGCTCCTGGGGCTTCCCGCGTGAGTTTTCCAGAAGCCTCGGGCGCGCAATTAAGGGCCCACGCTTTCCACATGCCCTAAGACGGTCTCGGGTGACCGCCCACGGACTCCCTTGGGGGCCTCCTGGACCGTTTTGGAGGCCCACTGTACTGACCCAAAAAGCCAAACTATTCAAACAACGATTCGTTACTAGAAGATTCGCTTTCATGGCTTTTCGTTATTGAACACGTTCAAAACGGCCCAAGGTCTACACGATCACCCCCAAACTGCCAAAACGGCCCCGAAGCCTCCAAGAAGGGTCCAAGAGGCCCCCAAGACTAGATGGCTCCCGATACCGCCGACAAGCTTGCACAGGCTTCCAGAGGCCCTCAAGAGGCCCTCAGGAGGCTTCAAGAGGACCACAGGCCGCTCTCAAGAGGCCCCCAATCCCCGAAAGCGCTTCTTTTCCACGACCCTGAAGCGGTGGTGGGATGGGCCGAAAGCCACTGGATCCGCCGCCTCCGTAGCCTGCTGGAAGGGTGCTGCCATGCCAAGGCTTATAGCCCTGTGATCCTTCGAAAAGGTCCCCAACGCTCACTGACACAACCCGCTGGCACCTCGACCCACCCCCAAAATCAAGAACACTCGCCTCCAAGATGGCCGAGAAGACACCATATGGTCTCCAATATGGCCCAGGGCGGCCATCGATGGTCTTGAAGATGGCCAAGGGAGAGTCCCAAGTTTGGCCACATCGGTGTCTTCAGAACGGCAGGGGGCGACAGTGACTCGCGGTAAGCGTCTTCGATAAAAAGGTGACGTGTGTGGGCGATGACGGAATGCGGAGATAGCTTCGGACTGGAAACACATGATGACAGAGGACCTGACCGCCACTTAAGGAGCCTCCAACGCCAAAAAGCTATGCATTACAATTTCCGCCAAAGATGTAGGTCAGCGTTTGTGTTGGTTGCATGGCGTACTTCCACCGGCTCGCGTGTGGTCTTCAACTTCCGTTGCTGCTTGAACTACTGGTGCTACTCCGGATGCTGTGCCTACTGCTACTGCATCTGCTGCTGATGCTGTGAATGCGTCTGCGCTGCTACTACTATGAACTCTATTGCTGCTGCAACTGCTATCGCCAATCGTAATGCCAACGCTCAATCTTTTACGGCTACAACTACCTTCGTCCTTCCGTACTGATATTCGCTCGACCGCTACGACGCCTGTTTCTTCTGGCCTTGCACTGAAAGCGTCATGGATACTGATGTTGCCGCGACTCCAATCTGAACCGTTGCCGCTGTCGACATACGGCTACAGCTACCATTGAAACTACGAGCTAGCACCATCATGCCTAATTGAGGTCACCAGTGCTACTTCTACTACAGCATTCACTCTGTAGGATAATTTCTACTTCACGTGCTACGACGAGTAGTGGTACGACTGATGATCTTACTTCTGCTGCTCACTGAAATTCCATACAGCTAGTTTCACTCCTGCCGTCACTACCAGTGTCACTGACACTGCCGCCGCACCTTTTTTGAGCTCTGCTTTTTGCGAAGCGGCAGTGCCAACGACGACGACGACGACGAGACCACCATTGCTGCAGTGCCGTCTGCTGCAACTGCAACCTGCTTCCCCGCGTGTGCGGCGTGACGTGTGGGAGCCTGGTCGGCCACCTGTGCCCCTGGGCCCCTCGTGGGCACCCGTGGCTCCGCGCGCGGGAGCGCAATATGTCGTGCACCCGACCGTGCAGGGCCGCTCTCCAGAGTGGAGCGGGTGCGCCGCCTCCGAGGCTCCAGCCGGGTCCCCGTGCCAGGCTCGGTCTGCTCCTCTGTCTCCGTCTCGGCAGCTGCGCCAGGCTCCTGCTGCTGCTGCTGCTGCTGCTGCTTGCCCTCCTCCTCCTCGTCGCCCTCCTCGCCCTCGTCCTTCGCGCGGAGCAGCGGCGAAGGCGTGCTTCGTGGTACAGGGAGAGCCCGACCTGCATCGATTATATCATCGCCTCTGAATCACAAGGTTCCACTCGCCTGGCTCATGGTTTTCAAAAAGTTGACTCAAGCCGAAATGGATTCAACACTACTTGCACCTTTTGTCCGACGTCCCTTGGCGTACCATAGAACTCTGCCAAGCCTTGTCGCACTGCTGCCTCCATCCGACTTAGTTGGAATGGGAGGAGGAAGGGGCCCGAGCGGGCCTGGGCAGCCAGCCTGGGCCTCGCCATCAGCCCCGAACATGTCTGTTTTGATGTTTTGTTTTTTATTCCGTGACGCGGCTCAGGCAGGGGGGCGTCTGCCCTGTCAGTGGAGGCGTCGGTCCGGGGCGCCCGAGTCGGAATTACGCAGGCGTGCATGCGCGCGCCTCTGAATTCGCACCTGGAGGCAGCGAGAGCGGGAGAGGCGAAACAGGACTAGCACAAACAACGCACGACGGCAAGGCGGGTAAGCGGGCCGCCAAGGAAACATCTGGGTGCAAACTCACGAATTCGGGCTCTCGGCGTCCGCGAGCTCCGCGCGGAAGCGTGGACATGTGAAGCGCAGGTGCGAACGCGATGAAGAGGTCCAACCTCCCCCGTGTAAAAAACTAGAGTGCTGCGCGATCAGTTCCCAGGCTCCTGCGAAGCTTCCCTGCCAGGGCGCGGCAATCTGCTCGGAGCATGCTGCGGTCTATCATGTCCACGCGCGCCTTCTTCTCCCCCCGCGACAGCGGCCAGTCCCAGGAGGCGCTGGACGGGGGAACTGGGCGGTCCTGGTGGGCGGACCACGCCCGCCCGCCCAGTCTGCCGCTGCCGGCAGCCCTCGCCCGCCGCCCACACGCCTGCCGCGCCTTCGCGGCGGCGTGCTGGACCGCGGGGGGCGCGGTGTGGCGCTTGGGGCTGCAGTCCGGCGGGCCCTCGTAGCCTCGAGGGCTGAACGACGCGCTGGCCGCCGCCTCCAGGCCCAACTCCATGGCCGTCGGAGGCGGCTCGCCGGCACCCTCGCTGCCGCTGCTGCAGATGCTGTACGCCTCGACGCCGGCCCCCCGGGCCTGCCCCGGCCGCCGCAGCAGCGGGCGCGGCGGGGCGGTGGGCTCGGCCTCCGCCTGCGCTCCGGGGTGCCGCCCCCCCGGCTGCTCCTCGCCCCGCTGCTCGGGCAGCGGGCTCCAGAGGGTGATGGAGCCCACCGCCCTGTGCCCGGCGCTCTGCGAGGGCGAGAGGGCGATCTCCTGCCACTGGCGAGGCGGCCCGCGGGGGCTGGGCTGAGCCGGGGGCTGCTGCGGCATCGGCAGGGGCAGCGCGGCGTAGAACGTCTGAGAAGCCACTCGTGCTGCCGACGTCGGCGCCAGCATCACCACCGCGGCTGCCGTTGGCGGCATCGCAGGGGTTGCCGTGGCCTGCGCCGCGGGTGGTGCCGCCGGCGCGAGGGCCGCCGGCTCTGGCGACCAGTGCGGGCGCACCAGCATGGGCGACGCGGGCGCCGCCG